GACACCTCTCTAACGGACACGCCGTTTTTAATGAAATAATACACAGTTTTTTGTGTGTGCCTTTTCTGAGACTATTTCTTCAATATTTTTTGCTACGTACATAGAATGATGTACTTGCAAAAGATTGCCCCCAGCTTTTTCAGAATAAAATACATAAATAAAAAATGTTTAATTTTTCCTCTACTAGCCTTATTCTCTCGAAGAAATTGTTTCCATTCCAAAAATACCTACTCTTGTTTTTTTCACTTTCAGTTTTTTTTTTAATATAACGAAATTATCGTTAAGGAAAAAAGTTCGAAAGCAAACCAAACGACAATTACACAATATTGTTTTTACATACTTGTTTAAAATTATGATACAAAATATTATATAATATATTTATTTTTAAATACAAAATAAATAAATTATTAATGTACATATTATGGCAATATTGATTGCGGAGTGAATTTTGTTCATAAAGTCTACTGTTCTGTTACCCACCCCTCCACAACGGACAATTCTTCGATTCGCTTAGCTGTCCATTGTAGAGAGGTTTCGCTGTACAAAGAAATTAAGCTGTAAGCTCTAAACTTCATAAACAATCAACTGGACCAAGACAGGAAAAAAGGTAGGTAAATTTGGCCTGGATTTGTAAGATTGGTATATACATATTTTCAAGTTTGTGTATACCCTTATTCTCTGCATGGATTTGCAAAAATCTAAGTAACCGTAAAATCTTAATATAAAATTATTCAGAAATCGTGAGATGCAGTCTGGTGTGATGTAGGTTTCAGAAAAACATTTTCTTTATCGTGCCAACGTTTCGATCTTTATTGAGATCATCTTCAGGGCCTTGTGTTGTCTGCATTTCAGCAAAAAAGTTCTCTGATAGCCGATGCGAGTTTCTTCGCATTGTTGGCGATGTCCTTCAAAGTACTTTTAGCTCCGTGTCCATATGTAGTTGAAATTTATTCATCAAACGTTGGCATGATAAAGAAAACGTTTTTCTGAAACCTACATCACACCAGACCGCACGATTTCTGAATAATTATCGATTAACGGTCACAAATCACAACACATTTCTACAAGAGAAGAACGAAGAACATGGGATTCTATGAACAAATTTCAACTACTTATGGACGCGCAGCTAAAAGTACTCTGAAGGACATCGCCAACAATGAGAAGAAACTCGCATCGGCTATCAACCAGAGAACTTTTTTGCTGAAATGCAGACAACACAAGGCCCTGAAGATGATCTCAAAAAAGATCGAAACGTTGGCACGATAAAGAAAATGTTTTTCTGAAACTTACATCACACCAAACCGCATCTCACGATTTCTGAATAATTATCGATTAACGGTCACTAATCACCACACTTAATATAAAAATTAAATTTTTGTGATCAATTTTAAAAAGAAAAATCCTTTTAAGTAGGTAATATTAAATAAAATTACAATTAATTAAGGTTTTTAGTTGAGATAAAAAGTCAATGGCACGAGCGGGATTCGAACCCACGATCTTCGGCTAGATACGCCGCTGCTCTACCACTTGAGCTATCGTGACCTCTATCCAATCCGACACTAACTTCCCATCACAACCCCACCTTTTGAATTTTCCCTCCTTTTTGCCATTTTTCAAATGTGTAATCGGATTGGATTCGCGACGACAAATGAAATGGCTACGGAGAGCTTTAGTGAAGTATACTTCATTTTCAATCATTAAATTCACTAATTTCGTGGTCCGCTTGACCAATTAATATATTACAATTAATTAAGGTTTTTAGTTGAAATAAAAACCTTAATTAATTGTAATATATTAATTGGTCAAGCGGACCACGAAATTAGTGAATTAAATAAAATAATATGTTAAAAATTCGATTCCTAGGATTAAATGGTTAATAATAAGTGATGGAAGTAGGCTTTTAAATTCATAAACATTCAACTGAGAGGTGCAATTTTGCTTATATTTGTTTTACGACTGTTATGAATAGAATGAACTATAATTTTAATGATAAAACAAAAACTTCTGTTGTACTGTTAAAAAGTTTATTATTGATAGATGTCTCGACTCAATAATCTGGATTTCGGTATGGTGTGAATGAAAACAAATTCAATTATCAGTCAAGTTTTCGAACATTTTTAAGGCCATCATCAGTGCCTTTATTAATTATCAATACAAATTAGTACAATTAATTCAACAATTAATGTAACTATGTAGATCTTACAAAACGTCCTTGAAAACGTTGGGATTGACTCTATCAAAGAAATTTGAAACCATTTATTAAAAACTTAATTATGTCAATTTGTAGACATCTTTAAGATTATTTTGTCCTGTTGATGACCTTAAATTAGTTCGTAAGCTTGGCAGATAAAAATTGAATTTGTTTTTTCAACTACACATACAGAGATTCGGATTATTCGTGACTTTTTTTTGTCTGATAACTGCTTCAAAATAAATTTTATTTGTAAGTTCTTAACTTGAGAAACAATCGTTTAACTAACGCACGATGACAATGATGATGCTTAAATTCAGCACATATCTTACCCAAAGGGTAAAATGTTTATCAATTTTACTTCTTGAAAATATTATGTCCTTTACTGATCCCTCAGTTTCAATCTAGTTTGATTGAACACTTCTGAATTTTGCCCAATTTCATTCGCGACACCATTGACTCTTAATCATGGTTTAACAAAAATCCCTATGATTATGTAAAATTAGTGTACAATCACGTTATAAAATTGTATTTTATGTGGTATATTTTTACCACGATTTCCCCTAAATCCAACGAAATCTAAAATCATTTAAAAAATCCAAAAATGAAACCAATAGTTTCTGTTTTATTATTGTGAAAACGTTTATGTGTTTGATAAACTGATCTAAGGTAAATAATAGCTGGAAATTACTACATGATAGAAAATCAGCTGAATAAGACAGGATGACTGAAAATCCTTGCTGATTATCGAAAATAAGAGTACAATTTGGATATAAAATCGTATTTTATGTGAGATATGTTTATTTTTGTTACCCCCAGCTAAATGAAAAATTATTATTGTATGGATAAAATTGTTTTATTGACCAAAACAAACAATAGCAGTGAGTTATTAATTTGATAAACAATCAGCCGAACAATGCAGGATAACGATGATGATGGGTAAATTCAGCAAAAGCCTTACTCGAAGAGATATAATGCTTATAAAATTGACTTTTTTTAAATGTTCGTATATTATATTATCATTTTCCGATCATTCAGTTACAATTTTGTTTTATTAAATTAATCCTCAAACTTGGTATATTTTTACTCTCGTCATCATGGTGTAATATTTGTTTAAATATTTATATTGTAATTTTTAATTGTCCGAGTTACATTGAACCCGACTTACAATCTTGATTTTTTTAAAAATATTTTATTTTTATCTGTCTAAAGAAACATTTAAATATATTTAAAAAATTGATAATTAAATATATGTCATATACATTGATTTGAAGATTTTTATGGATAAGCCATGTAATCAGTCATAATTTTAATATAATAATTTTAAAAAAAATTCTGATGTGCTGTTAAATGGTAAAACTATTAAACTATGCTGTTAACATCTGAACTAAGGCAGGAAAAGTGCATTCAAATTTGGCAAATTATATTTACCATAAAGACAAGATATTGAGGTATCGCTAAAATTTATTCGAAATACTATACTTTATATTTTATAACATGCCAACGTTTGCTTTTATTCTTACCCTTGAAGATTGAGATTTTTTAAAATCCATATATACTCCTATTGTCGACACGATTATATAAAAATCAATGCTGATTCTCTAAGTAACTGATCTTAATATAAAAATTGTATTTCTTGTTTCAAAATTTAAAGGAAGAAAAATTCTACATTTTAAAACAAAGTAAGATGCCAAAATTTTAAAAGTGTAAAAGAAAATTATATTCCATTAGAATTTTAATAATAGAATACTGAAAGTGCTGATTCCTATGATTATATGATAAGAATCAGTGAAAGAAGTAAGCTCTTAAATTGTGGTGAAGGGTGAAATTTTGCTTTCTTTGTCGAAAAGGTATAAATTAATTTCTGTTGTGTTTGTGATAAAAATGTATTTTTTGTATGAAGAATAGGTAGAAAAAAGGTGCATATTTTCTGAGGAATAATAAAACACGAATTTTACGTCGAAAATATGCAGCCGGAATCGGTTGGTGATTATCAGAAAAACAGAAATATTAAAAGGACGCAATCAAGTGTTTAAGTTAGATCTAAAGCATTTTTAAAGTAAAGGAATTTATTGTTTCTTTCTTTCTCATACGAACAGATAGAAAAAATTTCGTATTTTCTGAGGAATAATAAACACGAATTTTACGTCGAAAATATGCAGCCGGAATCGGTTGGTGATTATCAGAAAAACAGAAATATTAAAAGGACGCAATCAAGTGTTTAAGTTAGATCTAAAGCATTTTTAAAGTAAAGGAATTTATTGTTTCTTTCTTTCTCATACGAACAGATAGAAAAAATTTCGTATTTTCTGAGGAATAATAAACACGAATTTTACGTCGAAAATATGCAGCCGGAATCGGTTGGTGAATATCAGAAAAAAACTGAATTATTAAAAAGACGCAATCAAGCGTTAAAGTTAGATCTAAAGTATTTCTAAAGTAAAGGAATTTATGATTTCTTTATGTTTCTTTCTTTATCATAATTGGATGTATAAATATAACATTATTCCGCTATGTGTAGGACTAAATATAAATCTTGCTGGTCACAAGGACCGGGTGCCGGATTTAAAATGTTCTAAATGAAATCGACTTATAAAAAGGAAAGGATGCGACGGTTTACCCTCGGGAAAATTATAAGTCGATCGAAATTGAATTTTTAGATCGTGTCTTTCTAATATTAGAACTTTAGTCTCGCTTTGACATAGACGTGTTGTCATCCGCGAGGCGGTTTATTTCTGATCACGTACCCGGATGTTGCAAACACTCGAGACGGATCGGACCAATTTTTTTTGTGTGTGCAAGTACTCACCGTACGCAAGAAGGAAACGTCATCCTGTTCGGATCCTCCTTCGCTGTCAGCCATGGTTCATGCAATTGTTCACCGGCTCAGTTGAATTCGGCCGGAGACGTCGGATGCATATCTTCCAGCCGATGGCACACACCCAGTGATTTGTCTTATCCGTTGACTCCTCTGTTTTTGTATATATATTTTTTCTCTCTCTCTCTCTCTCTCTCAAAACACGTGATGTTACGACTGCCTTTTCGTCGGAGGCTCGCGGACTTACTGCCGCCTCCGCTTGCCCACCCTGCCGGGTCGGCCCTTACCTCCTTCCCCTCCCACTTCCGTTAAATATACACCCGTAGGACAGACACTACACACGGCACCATCAAAAGAAGTCTTTTTGCAGTTCAACCTGGCAGTTCTACACATTTTCGTTCATATTTTTATTCGTATATCGTATTTATTTTACTTTATATTAGTGTAATTATCACATTTAAAATATAAAAAAACATATATCCTTAAAAACAAAACAGTTTTTTTTATACATTACATTATGTGGTGAATACGTCGAAAAAATATTTTAAAAAAATAACATGTATTATCTGGCATTTTATCTCGTCTTTCAAAGTAAATATACGATTTTAATTATAAAATACGATTATTCGGAAACAAACCACCACACATAAAATACTTTTAAATCCTACAATGCTCTAATTTGTCGCACAATATACAGTCAAGAACTTTACGCTTTATTTGAATTGGACTAAATTTATTTTTGTCATAGCATTAGTTAAAATAAATAATATAAATCAAATGTATTTTATTTAGGGAAAGTGGCGGGCACAATACATACTCTTTTGCATATTTCCTGTTGTGTACAATACTTCCTGATAAACATTCCTATCGAATAATTATGGGAAAATGGTCATAACCTAAACTTAAAAACCATTGGACATTAATAAAATTCTCACAGTACCATTCCAAACTAAGTAACTACTTAATAATGATACCAATAGTTATGATAAATATGTTAATAAATAAATTGATATTAGTTTAACAAGCTATTATAAAAATAAGTCTGTTTGCAAACCCAATTTTGGTTAGTTTGACTATGAAAAATTAGTGGCGATGCTGGATAATTTTGTTTTCCGAAAATGGCAAAAATAGATTCCAAATGGACAAAAGCCAATGAAATTTCCCATATGTTCATTAATATAGGTCACATGATTTTGAACAAATTACTGATGATTTCATAATCAATTATTTCTGAGTTTTTTATACAAAATGTTTTATACATTATGGATGCCAAACAATGGGATACGGCGAAGCAAAGATCACAGAAAGAGAAAATTGTATTGGCTAGGATTAGGATACTGTGATCTCCATCAAGCATATTCTGACATCATGTAGAAACTACAAAGACCTTAGGGTCAATAATTTAACAAATTAATAAATTATTAACAGAATTTGCTCGGTAACATACTAAACTAAGTAACTATTTCATAATGACACAAACTACCAATAGATATGACAAATATCTATTAGTTAGTGGTATGTCAGTAAATAAATTGATATTAGTTACAACAAGTTATCATACAAGTAAATTAGTTTTAAGTAATTTTATAAGTTATTTTTTAGTGTGTGGTGATTAGTGACTGTTAATCGATAATTATTCAGAAATCGTGAGATGCGGTCTGGTGTGATGTAGGTTTCAGAAAAACAACTGGCACTCTCAACACGACACGCAAGAGTGGCACAATTACACAGAAGACAAACACTTTGAGCCCTGAAGATGACCTCAAGAAATATCGAAACGTTGGCACGATAAAGAAAATATTTTTCTGAAACCTACATCACACCAGACCGCATCTCACGATTTTTAATAGTATAAATAGTACAAATAGTATAAATATGTTAGTTTTTAAATAATTTTATAAATTAGTAATATTTTTTACAAATATGTTAGCTTTTAAATAACTTAATAATTAAATATATAAATGGATTAATTTTTAAATACGTTAATAAATTAGTTAGTTAACAATTCAATTATTGAACAATGTAACGAGTTAAAAATTAATAAATTAATAACAAAATTCTCATGATACCATTCAAAATTAAGGAACTATTTAATAATGATACCAACTACTAATATGTATGATAAATATGTTAGTAAATGAAGTTATATTGGTTTAACAAGTTATCGTACAAATAGTTAATTTTTAAGTAATTTTATAAGTTAATTTTTAGTTAGTTTTTAAATAATTTTATAAGTTAATTTTTAGTAGTATAAATATATTAGTTCTTAAATAATTTTATAAGTTAGTAATACAAATGTTTCACAAATATGTTAGATTTATAAACTTAATAATTAACTATATAAATTGATTAATTTTTAATTAGTTAGTTAACAATTCAATTATTTAACAATGTAACGAGTTAAAAATTAATAAATTAATAACAAAATTCTCATGAAACCATTCAAAATTAAGGAACTATTTAATAATGATACCAACTACCAATATATATGATAAGTATGCTTGTAAATAAATTGATATTAATTTAACAAGTTATCGTACAAATAAGTTAATTTTTAAGTAATTTTATAAGTTAATTTTTAGTTAGTTTTTAAATAATTTTATCGTTATCAATATTTTTTACAAATATGTTAGATTTTAAATAACTTAATAATTGAATATATAAATTGATTAATTTTTAAATACGTTAATAAATTAGTTAGTTAACACGTTTTGCAGACTTTTGGCAAATAAGTGAGCGTTATAAATAAGTTAATAAGTAAATATATAAACTGATTAATTGTTGAATACGTTAATAAATTAATTAGTTAACAATACATTAATTTAACAAGTTCAAAAATTAGAAAGTTAACAGATAACAATTATTTAACAATTTAATGAGTTAACAAATTAACAAGTTAATAACAAAATTCTCATGATACCATTCAAAATTAAGGAACTATTTAATAATGATACCAACTACCAATATGTATGACAAATATGTTTGTAAATAAAGTGATGTTAGTTGAACAAGTTATCGTACAAATAAGTTAATTTTTAAGTAATTTTATAAGTTAGTTTTTAAATAATTTTATAGTTAGCAATATTTTTTACAAATATGTTAGATTTTAAATAACTTAATAATTAAGTATATAAATGGATTAATTTTTAAATACGTTAATAAATTAGTTAGTTAAGAATTCAATTATTTAACAATTTAACGAGTTAACAAATTAATAAGTTAATAATAAAATTTTCATGGTACCATACAAAACTAAGTAACTATTTAATAATGATACCAAATATCAATAGTAAATGTTAGTAAATAAATTGATATTACTTTAACAAGTTATCGTACAAATAAGTCAGTTTTTAAGTAAGTTTTTAAGTTACTTTTTAGTAGTATATAAATACATTTTTAAGTAATATTGATTAATTGTTGAATACGTTAATAAATTAATTAGTTAACAATACATTAATTTAACAAGTTCAAAAATTAGAAAGTTAACAGATAACCACCTTAATTGGCTGATAAATAAATTATTTAGCACAAAGCAAATGTAGAGGAACGAGAGTTTTCAGTGAATAAATTATGTTTTATTCTTCTGTGTTTCCAAGGTCTGAAATTGTCATATTTGCTAATTGAAGCACTTATTGAGTTTGTACTGGTGTTTTTGCAAAAAAAATTTGTGTCCTATATTTTATCCCTCTCTGATCCATCGTAAGCCATCTAACAGGTCTTGATAGTCGTATACCGAGGGGACGAGATGGCTAGTGATATCGCTATTTGATTACAGTGAGTGATATCCTTCTTGCCACATACTTCGGCGACTATTGCCAAATGTTTAATAAATATTAGAAATGTTTATGCTTGCGCTTGCGGACGGTAGTAAATATTGTTCCTGCTAAGGCCGTTGAGGATTTATTATCTTTCCCAACTGTGCGGTGGACGTCACACGTCAAAAACTCAAGCTTTCAGATACAAAATGACATCGTTGAAGGATGGAGGACAGGGTCGACAAACATTTCACATGGGAATAAACTTTGACGTATCTTGAGGGAAAGTATGGTTAAGTACTTAAGTAATTAAAACAAATCATTCTGATGAAGTTAGTGGAGAATAGGCAGGATTGAATGTTATATGGTATGATTGAATATAATATGATACAAAAACAGAACACTTGACGAACCGGCTGCCATCAAAACCGCTAAGAAATGCGGAACTGTCGACTGATCGCCGTTTTATAAAACAGATTCCAGTCAGGACACTTGTGAATAACGGTCACCTGATTTGTATTCTTTGGTAAATTCTAGAAGGTTCAACTTAATTCCAGTTACAACACGACTCAAAACAGGTCATAGTACCATAGGCATGTAGAGAAAAATGGCTTAATGGGTCGTATTTGATCGAAGTGTTCAAATGAAACATGTTATCTGTACGACTGTAGTACCGCGTGTACAAATGGTTCGTACGTGTAATTATTTAGCCATTGCCATGTGTCTAGCTTTGGTTGGAAGCTCGAAAGGACACTCAATCCCCGATCATAGGGTATCAACCCACGAACCGCCGTTCACTCATCCTTATTTACATGCCTCTCATTGAGACTGGGCACATTCCGAGCAAAAGATCTGTACGTGCGGTGTACCGTCCACATCTTTCCGAAGTCCGTGATTTCATGCACCAGAAGCCTATACGTCAACAACAGGACCCCTCCACCACAAGTCAAATCTTATCTATCTCCTAGATTTCAAGTATTATTCTTGTCAGAATCAATATCCGTTTCATGTTTTTTGGGTGTTGAATGGAGGAGTTGGCCCAATTGTTCCAATTCTTTAAATAATCTCCCTTTCTCTCTCTCTCTCTCTTTCTCTCTCACTCTCACTCTCTCTCTCTCTCTCTCTCTCTCTCTCGTTAATTGTAAGAGAGGTCGACTCAATGAGATTTCAATATTTTTTTAAATTTACAGTTCAATCCTTTTCATATTTTCCCATTTTCTCACAACTTTCTCTCTCTCTCTCTCTCTCCCTCCCTCTCTCTCTCTCTCTCTCTCTCTCTCTCT